GAGAACAGAAACTCTGGGTGTCCGTGCGGTTTGCCACGACGATTTGTATTTCGTCCAACCAATTTAAGAAAAAGTTTTTCTTCCACGATTCGTTATTGCGCCAGAGAGTTCCACTTTGAAACTGAATCCTCAGGAAGTTGCCGAAGTAACTGGAGTATAATGTGCCGTACGTACAGGACACCATCCTAATACCCGACCTCCGATTTCCCTCACGAAGAATCGATTGCGTTCGAGAGATACTCATTTCAAACTTTTTGAAATTTCTTTAAATCTCCAATTACCAGCGTACGAAGTTTCCTCTAACCTTTTCCTCGTAAGGTGTTAATTTTCCAATAAAAATCTTATTAACTCTTCGAATAAAGACAAATCTTTCGAGAAGGCGTGAAACGAACTTATAAATTACCGTGCTTTCGATCAAGAAATGAAACGGCATACTTTAATCACGATCATTATAATATCATGGAACTTGGAGGTAATTACTCTCGGAGAACGAAGGAGAGCCTTGTCAAATCTACCTTGTCGTTCTTGCTCGAATTTGCTGTCAAGTTCCGGAGGTACATTAATATTAAACAGCAAGAGAATTCAGAAGCTTCCTCTTCTTTTAGCGAGCCTGGTTAATCACGTTTAGAGTTACCAGAATATTAATTTATTCGTAGGTTGAATTTATAATTCCCTTCCATATTACGTCACATCCAATATATTTAAGCCGACGTTAAAACATAATTAGTTAAAAGCTGAATATACTATAATATCAAATGAGAGACAGATTAAATTCAATGAAACGAGAATTAAAAAAAAGAGAATAATCAAACAGACGTTTGATTTTATTTCAAGCCACAATATTCTCTTCGTTGCTTTTATTTTTAATTAATGGAATATATGAACAGTAACGAGCCAATTATTTCATCTGTTGACTGTTGTAATGAAAATGGCTAGTGCAGTACTTTAATAAGAATTATTAACGGTACGATCATTTCGTTTTTGTTACATTTTATTATCGCTCGAGGACGTAATTGATGTTAACTCGGGTTTGACGTGTTGCAGAATTTCGTAAATGCTCATGGTATGTTTCTGTAATTCAATGCTTTCATGTAACTTTGTGAAAATCGACATTTTAAAGAACCTTTCGATAAAAGTTTTAAAATAATTCTACCAATTTAATGTACTTAAATAATTAATACAAGTTAAAATTTTGTTGTACACCAAAACGTTACCAAATCAATGATGAAAGAAATTCGCGATTTTTCAACAGGATGCTTAAACGAAAATTCGACAACCTATAGTCAGAAGACTGTAGTTAAAAACCAGCTGCAGTTTATATTTCTGTGATCTTTGTTGTTAGCAAATACACGATTCGTTTGATTTTTCTGAAGCATCGTTGTAGGAACGTTTCGGTCCCGTTTTCAGTGGGAACAGGGCGAAACGAAAGGCCGCGATTTTATTTACAGACGCGTTTAAATTGAATTTTCAATTTCGCAAAATCGCCACGGCGAAACCGACGCTCAGAGTACTCAACGCTTTGCGGTTAATACATCCGTGCCGGATTCGAAAATCGTTATTCCGTCAGTTAAAGCAATCTCTACATTGCTGGCGTGAGATTGACGGTTTTTTTATATATATTTCTTTTCCGCCGAGCAACTCGTTCGTTTCCCAACAGTTTTAAGTCGAAAGCATCGTTTCGCGTTTTTAATTTTCTTCCTTTTCGTTTACTAACCATTCGCAACAATTTCCATGGTAAATACGATTTAGAGGTTCCAGCTTTCTGAAGTTCCTTTCATACATGCTCGAGCACCGTTTAACGTATCTTTTCATATGTAAAAACGCACAACTCTCCCTCTATTTCAGCTGAATATCCTCGATTTCAATAATCGTTCTCAACCAGCTACCAATAAATTACGCGGTGATCGTTGGTTTACTCGGGCTATTATAAATCCTATCAATCGCATCTAACTGTCACGAATACGGTGGAATGAATGCCACGTTTATTAGGCCAATTATCGAACGGTTTGCGAACGGTTTCAACGATATAATTATACGGTATGTTAATTAAATCAGGACTAGGGGAATCTGTTGTGCGTTAATTCGCTTATGCGAGATCGTAGAGACAAACGGATGCTAAGTAAATCCACGTCAGATATAAATCCTCCCACAGAATAGTAATTGCTAATCAGTTTTTCGTCCGTTCATTGGTTATACGAGATAACGTGAGATTGATTGATCGACGGGTTAATTGTCACGAGTTTCGCTAGAAAATTCATACAATCGAAGAATGAAATAATTATAGAAAGGAGAATGGAAAATTTACGTGGCATTGATGAAGGTTAAATTTAAAAATCAAGTGAAATGTCGTTGGTCGATGTTAATATTCTGGTATGAATTTGATTGATAGGGTTGGACCGAATTTGAATTTCTGTCTTTACGAGAAAAATGCGACCCCTTATCTGACCCTTTTTCCGGCTATGCAAACCAGCTGAGGGTTGGGTTTGCACGCACGCGTGCCTACGTAAAGGACGTATGTCCACGTCAAACTCCTTCCGACCGTGCACGTCCTGGAACAAGGCACGTAGAAGGTCTCTTCCGGACCGTGTTTCCAAAGGACACCGCTTCCAGTTCGCCTCCGTTTTCCTTCTCGTTCACCACGCTGCACCCTATATCCCACCCTATCTCTTTCCTTACATATAGATACCTATGATATGTATAGGGCGTTTCCAAGACAGATAACCAAGATCTCTTTAAATTTATAGCAATAATTATACAAATATTAATACTGTGTCAAGAATCTTTATCCTACATATAGATATTGCCAAAATTACGATTAACCTTTTGCATAATAAAAGGGTTAAATCAAGCATACAATGTCTATAGTAAACTAAAAAGGGTCAGGATTTATAATTCAGAAAATAACCCAAGTTTGTAAGACATTCTTTTTCTTTTCCATTTCGCAATGAAAGTAGGAGACGTTGGTAAAGTTTGGTCACCGGTTTCAGAAACAACCTGTATATAGCTGCGGAAGGTATATAAACCCTTTACTTTCGTCTTATGCATATCTAATGTTCTCGTTGGTCGGATATTTACAAGTCAAATGCGAGCGATCGAGTGAAACCGGTACGACGCTCGGAGGCTGAAAAAGCGAAGAAAAAGCTCGCCGCAAGCACGTTACCGGGGTTGGGATGAGGGTGAAAGAACAACGAAGTAGAGAAAGACGACAGAAGGAGGAAAGGAGAGAATAAACGTGGAAGAAATGCGGAGGAGGATGTAACGAGAAAAATGGGACGAGCAATGAGGCTCGGTACCGTATTTCTTTTGTCTTGGTGCGGTTCACCGTAAACCCGGGCACAAAAGAATCTTGCCCCTGGTCTTCGGACGATGAAGTCCGGAGAAGGAGATGGTTAAGTGAAGTACGCAAACCATGAGTTTCCTGTTGCGGCTGGAGATTTCAAAGTTTCACGATTCGAGGAGGAAATTTGTTCATGATGGTTGCATGCAACGATCTGATCCTTCAGGATTTAAAAAAAAAAAATGAACTTCTGGTTCCAGTAAAAGCAATAGCAAACTCTTCTTCATCCTTGAATATAAACGAAAGATAACCAGTCGATCAACACACTATCATCCAATTCTGTGGTCTGGTTATAAATATTTGATCACAGTGTTTCCGACCGATCCGCTACTTGACAAACGCGGTTTGTCGATGGTGTACACCAGCGAACGATAATTGAATTTATATCGGTCCCATGGGCATTCGCGTTATTATAACGTTCAACGTTACCCCAACTCCTTGCTGAAGAATCGATTTACCCGTATATGTACACCCCTCGGTTACCCTTCCTCGTTCATCCCAATTTTTCGTCACATTTACTAGAAGGAAATAGAGGGTGTCTTAAAATAGTCTACAACTCGAATGCGGCATTTTCCAGATATGCAATATACAATGCAATTAAATACAAAACATATAGTAATATTTTTATTACATGAATTGAAATTAAAATTAAGCAATTCTTAACACTTTTAGTATAACTACAAAACTCATCTCCGAATTTAAATTGTGAAATGGCAAAGAAATGTACAATTTTTATATTATATTTGGGTTGCCCTGTATATTTAAGTCTTCGTTCCCTCTTTCTCCTCAAGTTTTAAAATAAATTCAAATAGGAAGAAGGTCGTTGGCTATGCTAGGTCGTTCTTCCTCTGGTTTGTATCCCTGGAGAAAGGTACAAAATAAATTGTACCGGCAGCCACCTCCAACCGAGAGAGTAATTTGATGCACAACCTCAAACTCCACGAGCTTGGACGATAATAAAACGGGGTACAGTGTGCAGGGCGTCTTGTTTTATTAATTTAAATTCTACAAGGCGGCGTCGACTGGTGATCCTGGCGGGAGGACACCAGAACGATATTAACTTAAATTACAAACAGTCCGTCCTAAGGTGGTCCTGATTTCGAGATTAACAGAGAAGCACTGGCTAAGAAACGGAAGGGAAAACAGGCTGCGTTGAAGCGACGTAAAAACACGATGGAAGAAAATAGAAAAATAAAAAAAAGAAGGGTGGTAGAGATAGAAACGACTCAGAAGTATATATATTGCTAAGAATCGTGCTTCCCGGACTTGCCTGATAACAGAGGAAGCTGAATTCCTTTTTGCTGATCGTGTTGTTTAACCCTGTACTATCCTTAGAGAAGTGGTTTTAATTAAATTTCTGCTATTACTTCATTTACAGAAAATTTCTCTTCATGTCGCACTCGATTAATATCATTAATATTAATATTAATAATGAAAAAACATCTCTCAGTTCCATGCAAAAACTCGAAGAAATCATGTTCGAGATGTTAACCCATTAATTATTTCTAAGAAATTTACAAAGCCTCTGGCAGAAGTTGCTAGCAAAGCTACCTCGCTCTCATCCGCGAAATGTTTCTGTTGTCTTGTTTCGGTCAGAGGTGTTTCGCGTTGCACACGCTTGAACAAGTTCTAATCTTATCGATCATGTTTCTCTTGTTCACAGAAATCCTCGGGATGGAGCTAAGAACGGCGAAACTGTTACTCTACTCGGCGTTGGTGGTGGTCGTGTGTTGGTGCCAAGAAGATTGGACGGCCCAATGTTCGTCCTTGTGCAAATGCAGATGGATTTCCGGCAAGAAGACAGCGGAATGCGCGAAACAGAATCTCACGCAGATACCTAGTAATCTATCATCGGATATCCAGAACTTCGACCTAACCGGAAATCGTATCGCTCATCTGGTGAACAACTCGTTCAGTAGCGTCCATCTGGTGAACCTTCAGAAGTTGGTGTTGCGCAAATGCGAGATCGAAACGGTTCACATGAACGCTTTCAACGGCCTGAAAATCGTGATCGAGATCGATCTATCGGCCAACAACATCAGAACCCTAAATCGGGGTACCTTCGAAGAAACACAGAGGTTAAGGGTGTTGTTGTTGAACGAGAACAAGCTAAAGGTCCTGGAGAACGGTCTCTTCCGTGATCTGGTGTACCTGCAGAAGGTGATGTTGTCTAATAATGAATTAGAACGAATCGAGAAGAAGACCTTCCACAATCTGCCAGGTTTGCGATTAGTTACTCTGGATGGCAACAATCTAAGCACCCTGGGGGTGCAGAGCTTCGAGTTGCTGCCGATACTCGGCAGCCTAGAGCTTCACAATAATCCATGGAATTGCAATTGTCATCTGAAGAGATTTCGCAATTGGACGATAGAGAGAAAGTTGTATACGAAACCCACCACGTGTCAGCAACCGCCGAATCTTGCCGGGAAGATGTGGGACGAGATCAGCAGCGACGAATTCGCTTGTAGACCGGAAATCTTCACGATTGGCCCATCCGTGAAGATGGAGTTCGCCAGAGGGAACGTGACCTTTTGGTGCAGAGCTTCTGGAACCCCGCAGCCAAAGGTAACCGTATATATTTCTGTTAGAAAAGAAAAGAAAAGAAAAGAAAAGTGGTGATTAACGAAGAGTGAAAGAGAAGAAGGCAGGCGGAAGAAACTAACGGTGAAATATTATAAAACGGAACGCGGTAAAGTCGGGATAACGTTGACTGTTGTAATCTATGGTAAGTTGCTAGCAATTCGGTATACAATCTGGTTGAACGCGGAAGTTAGGTTCGTTGAAAAGATTGCGTCGGTTAAATCCGCGTTCGGGCAGCTTAGCTTGAAAGCTTCTAAACGATCCCAGCCAGTGGAACATTGTTCTCTGATTTCAGAACGGGAGAGATGCTTTTTTTTTAATGTTTATCCACCGTAAACGTATATTTCTTTCTGGTCGTTGCAAAGACTTCGCGAAGTATTTTATGTGTTTGTAGTAAAAGCTTTCTTTCTCTAACTGTTAATGGCTTTTGATTACGATGAAAAGTTGATAGATTTTTTTGAAAGGAAATACTAATGGTTTGAAATATACAGAAATTATTCTTACGTAAAGTGTAATTCATTCGACATTATCTCGCGATTGCTTGCAATGTACCCTCAATAACTTACGATAACTCTAACCGATAAGCTTTCTTTAAAGTTGAAAAATTCATTTTCTTATTTTTGTACCCTGCCTTCTTCTTTTGTCTCGACTTAAAGGAAAGATCGCTCCGGGACATTCTTTACTCTTAGACTGTCGATCCTTTATACTCTTCAATCAAATATTTTTCATTCACAGTTGAAACTCTCAAATTCTGTCGCAAGCATTTTAACTTTTCTGTTCGTTTAGACTCCTCGTCCGTTTCTTTCTTAAAAATGTATTCACACCCACACACATGGTTTAACGCTTCTTGGATAACTATCTTGGAATAAATTTCAGCTCGCTTTTGCGATGCGATCATTCTTGACAATTCGCGTTACATTATATCCCCTGGTGACCTGAAAAACATGTAGCGAAATTTTCATGACTTAATGAAACCCTTTGATTTCGCGGAGAATAACACGGCACAAAAGAATGAAAAGCTCGTCTTCTGAAATCGCATCGTACAAAAGGAAAACGTAGTTACGCGAGCTTTTGCATACGATAACGAAGTCCTTTCAAATTTGTCCCTCTATGAAAACTGCAAAATTAAGAACACTCTTAAAAAAATATTCGCGTATGCCCCGTGTCGTCTTAATTCGCGAATGGACGGCTGAAAACAGCGACGCGACAGGGTCGATAACGAGTTACTTTTTACATAGCGGTTTGCTTTTTCTATTTCAGCTGTTCTGGATCTACCGATCGAGAACCTTAACCAACGAGAGCCGACGACACAACGGGGAGAAAAGTTATATCCTGAAGTCGAGCCACGACTGGTTGAACCTGACGATACCGGATGTCACGCCCTCGGACAAGGGTGATTACGTCTGCTTGGCGAAAAGTCCGGGCGGAAATACGGAGAAGAACGTGACATTGGCTATCGCTGGCGACGCGATGGGTGGCAAGGACAATATAATCAGTCTACCGCTCGCGCTCGGATTGGGTGTGACCGCTTTGCTGCTTTTAATCGTCACCGTTTCCCTTTGCGTGTGCTATTGTCGTCGTCGTCGAACCAGGCACGACGAGAAGAGCCTCGAGGCCGCTACGATGGAACACCACGGTCTTGGCGAACAAGAGAAATCACTGATCACCACGATAAATCCAGTGGTGAAGCCACCGAGACGCTACGAGACGCCTTCCGTGACGTCGCACGGCACCGAGATGACGGAGCTGAACCGTACACTGCTCGACAACGACTCGGTCTTTGGTCAGTACACTGCCTACATTACTAAACAGTGCGTGGCCAGGTGCTAGCTAGTAACCATTTGTTACTTCCGGACAACGATCACAAGGAGATGCTCGTTGCGGGACGGTCGTTGCACGCTCATACGGCTCGATGGTGCTTGCGTGTGAAACGACTGGCACAGAGCTTAGGAGAAAGTCGATAGAGTAATGGTCCTTCGAGTTTCTTTGGCGTATCGACGATTCGTATCAATGATACTTGTTCCGTGTCATTGGCCAGGAATTGATATCGCCTCACGTCAAGCGTCTAATTCGATTCTACGAATTAAATCCTGCCTAACTGGTTAGGCTCGGAGATACCTGCTACATATCTGACAGATGGGATCAATTCGATCTGAATGAAGTAGTGGATACGAGTGTGTTCGATGGAAGAAATTTAATGAATTTGTAGGAATTATAGAGGCTAATTATTCAGTGCTTTATCCTCGATCTGTCTAAAAGATTCAACGGTTAAGGAAAGTTTAATTTAGATGTCGTTAACTCGACAACGATCATTAATCTTTCGACTTCCTTGGAAAAACACTCGATGATACGGCTCGTGACGAATGTCGTTGGTAATCAAAGAACAGAAGAGATTAATTAAGTCGTAGACGGTGAGAGTGCTTAATTCGAAGACGATGTTGCTTTGCTGGTAACGCGGCTTGGGTTCAGTAATCCCGCGAGCAGATAAACGAGGCGCCATCGATCCTGGGTTAACGAGTATCGACCAAGACTGTTGCAAGATTAATGAGAGCGTGCAACGCGTCGCGATCGAGAGGAGAAAGGCATTCGTCAATTGTGTCTGTTCGCTGTCGATAGCGTTTATTTCTTCACTTTTTTCTCTTCCTCGAACAACCTCGTTTTCCACGCGAAGAAAACATAACTATGGTCCGACGTTGGCTATCGCTAATTAGACGAGACGTATCTAATCATCACTGTTTCATAGACGTATCGCTGTACTGCGAGACGATTATTTTGATAAACTTGTAAATATGTCGCTCAAACGAGCGGAGAGCAAATTGTATATTACATACATTACGTCGTCGACGGGATAAGCGTTCAAAAGAATCCAAATATTTTTGTCTTTAGAATGATCGCAAGCTTGTCGTAGCAATAACGATCTTGTACATAATATACCCTTTGTGGAGAATACAGGGTAGACAAAATAATGGAAACACTAACTTTTGTAGTATTTTCATTAAATTAATCTACATCCCATAAAATTTAATTAGAAACTCGTACAAATCAATTTTAAGAAAGATTGTATTGCTGATAAAAATTTATAATTTTAACATAAAGAAGTAACTGAAAGGAATTGTTTAAATCCCATTATTTTGTTGAAGCCCTGTACAAGAGAAACGTTAGTTACGCTTATGTATATAAAGAGATTCGCATAGTGGAATAGAGAAAGGAGAAATTAGAGGGACTTGGCGAGGCGAAATGTATTCGGAAGAATCGCGCGAAGAAAGTTGTATGTAAAGGATATTGTTGTTAATTGAAACGTTGTTGGTCGCTCGGTAGCGTGAATAATGAAAATAGAAGAACAAAAGGGTAGCAAGTGGCCAGGATTGTGTTAGGCGTGGAGTGGTGATTAAAACGATAAGGGAAAAAAGAAAGTGCACGAGTTCTGTGACGTTTGGTTCGGTTAACACAAAGGAAACGGTAATGATCATTACACAACGCTCCCGTTTGAATTAGCAAATTGGCGTTTTATTAAGAACGATACGGACGGTTGTTCGGTGTATTGCACCGTGTATAATCTACCCTACCACCTGTCAACACACTTTCATAGATGGTAATTGAAATTGTCGACGGTTCTCGCATCTGAACAGTTATCTTCCGCGATTCAACGACCCGCGATCACGGTATCCCTTTGTATCAATTGCGGAAGGTTGATCGTGTGCAACTCCTCCCCCGCGTCCTACTTTCTCTTTTGATTGCTATTGAACAGGATTCGAATGCTGAAAAACGCGAGCCATGATAAAAGTTCTTCACGATTACTGGCCCCCTCGTTTACCTGTCATCGACACTCGTAAAGATTTTACACGGACACGAATACAGTCGCGATCCTGAAACTTACCGTATACGTGTGTGTATGTGTGTGCAAGTAAGTGGGTGTAAGGTTTGTGTACATGTCACGAAGCTCTTCGAGACGAGAAGATTGCAGAGCAAAGTCTTTGACTGCGAGTGAAGCGCGATAAAATGAGAAAAACGAAAGAAGCCAAGTGCATTGGCATCGATCTGTATTTCATTTTCTTGACAGATTCGTTACGGAGGAGTCGCGATAGAGTTGGCGTTTAAATTATAACTCGAAAGCGTAGCTCGTGGTACGGGCTACAGCCGACCCACTTTTCTTCCGATGAACTTTTATCTCGAAGGGCACGATCGATTTACGTGTCTTCGCGATACAAGCCGTGACAGCTCTTCTACATTATATATAACATTTTCTGATACCATTCCACCCTATCTGACGTAAGTTTCCCTCCGAAAGAGGTATCGTCTGAATATTTATATCATTACGGAGCTGGTACCGTCCTCGGATCTTCGACATTTGCTTTTCAGATACTCACCAAGTGCATAATGTCTGTGCTGTCGATCGATCGATCGATCCATGATGAACTCGTTTATTTCAAATTTAACAGATCTTAACGTTTAAGTAGTTCTGTGCAGGATACGATTTTCTAAAGTATGCCAGGTAACTTCATCTAACTCGATAGTCGATAATTTTCCAATTTTAAATAAAACCACTTCCGCAATTCAATTCTATTCGCTACATCTTCGAGGTCTCATTGCAGAAATATCACCATATCCAAACCTGCGCTTACCATTTTTTCTTTTTTCTTTTTTTTTTCAAATATAATTTAATTATCACGCGTCTTCCACTTTTCTTTCTTAACGTTCGTCCTTCTTTTTTTTGTTCATGGTTCTGGCAGCTGATGGTATCGGTGGCGGTGTCGGCAGTGGAGTGATCGGCGGAGTCGGCGACGACGAGAGGGAAGAACGAGCAACGCCCGAGCTAGAGAGTGGTACCGGCACCCTGTGCCGCGGAGGTGGCGGAAGTTATCGCCAGTATCCACCGGATCTGTTGGCCTTCTCCGGTGGTCGAGGCGCATCGCCAACGAGCCAAGCGTCCACGGCGCCGGACAACACGCGTCTTCCGAGTCAGCACGCGACGCCAAACTCAGCCGCGTACGGGTCACCCTCGAACCAATATCCTGCCACTTTTAAGACCTTGCCGCACAACCGTAGCGTCACCCCCTACGGAATCACCAGTTCCACCATCGCACCGGTAATGCCTCGTCACGGTTACGTTACGATACCGCGAAGACCCAGGGCACCCAGCTGGAGCAGCGGTCCACCCACTTCGCCCACAGACGGACTGGAGCCTGTCTACGACAATCTTGGTCTACGCACCACCGCCGATGGTAGCTCGGTGTTATCTTTGAACAAGAGTCCCGAGCCTTTGTCCTCGATCAGGAATCGACCTCTGCCAGGAACGCCTAGTTCGCATTACGGCACCATACAGCGAAGCACCCCAAATATATTGACCAGCAGCCCCCTCGATAGAGCAGCTCCCGAAGGTGCTGCCGAATGGCCATCCAAGATCGCTGACGAATCCACCGACAGCAATCACGTTCTAAATCAATCGCAGCCACAACAATCGTCCAGCAACACTCTCGGTAGAAAGGTACCACCTAGACCACCTCCAAAGCCGAAGAAGAAATCGACGAACGGTCCACTGTACGAGGACGAAGGTGAAGACGGGACGGAGGTATGATCTACGTACATCGGTCGACGGAGATGAGGCCGCGAGGTGGTGGCCGTGTTAAGCGGAAGAGACGCATGACCGAGGTCACAATAAACCGGTAGTGCCTTTGATGAAGAGACGATCCGTGGTTTTGTGCGAATCCACGTGTTCGGTTGGAGTGGATCAGTTTGCTCGTGGAGCGTGTGGGGGCTTCCACATCCGGTGAAACAAATCGTCGGGTGAAACGCTGACTCGCTGCAAAAGCAACAAACTCTTTGTTGTTGTTGTTTCTTTTCTTTTTTTCTTTTTTTTTTTAATTTTATTTTCTTTTCCTTGTATTTTTTAATTTATTTAGTTCGTGACGCGAGAAGGTTTCATTCTTTCGCGAGGAACCGGGAAACAGACTACGTTCCAGTGACTTTCACGCGAGAACACTATGAAAGGTGTCGAACAACACCTGTACGGAGGTGTTTTTCGTTCTTTGCGTTCCTCCAGAAGTTCGTCGACGAAGACGACCAACGATACGAACGCTCGTGACGTTTAGGTGACGAGAAAGTTGACGAGATCACGAACAGATCGTATAAGATACTCAGCGTTGATGGTAACGCTACTTCCCGAATACGATCGTCTTATTTATTGACGTGCTTGTTGCATGCATAACGAAGATCGCGTTCAAACCAGTATAGACATCGTGCAGTGGTAAACGCGATCGGGTACCTCTCTTAATCTCTATTTCTACAATTCTTTTTTTAAATTTACATTTTTGTATTCGCCCGTGTGTACTAGACGAGATTGATTCTTACGAAATATTTACAATTTATCATGCATTTTTTTCTTTTTTTATTATTCCTCGAGGGAACGCTGCTCTGCATTCTTTTTATCATTAGCTTTAAGATGATCCTCTATTTCTTCTACATCGTGCATTACGTTGGGTACTTGACCGCGTCGAACAGAGTTACTTTTGTAACTGTACGTACACGAGAAATCATGCGAATTATTTCCAATAATGTAAGAACAAACGTGTTAAAATAACAATGATGTTAGAGTAATTGTTTTTGCGTACGTAAAGAGTATCCTCCGACTATATCTGTTCTCCGATGGTAACGAAATAACGCGAATGTTCCAGTGTGAGTGTAACGAGGTGGTAATTCACATATAGAAATCCTCCATTAAGAAAATATCACAATGATACAAGACAAGACACCGTGACCAAATGAATCTTACACGCATATTCTCTCGTCCTTTAAAATATTTTAATATTCTCGCAGGCCATGATACTTCGTTTCTATCAGGAGGGATCTAGACGTACGTTCGTGTTGTAAAAAAAAAAATTAAAGAAACATCGTACAGTTTGTATATACTATGTATATTACACGTAAGAAATAGTTCGTATGTCTTTCATGAAACCATACCTAAATGATGGTTTAGAAACAAGGCAAGGCTATCCTCGAGTTAGAGACACAATGTCGACCCGTTCAGAATGCTGTTGTATACGTAAATTAAATGAAATAATTAAAAAACGTGGTAATTATAGAGAGAATTACCAAAAATGCAGTCGAATCTCTTTTGAACCGAATTCTTGATCGGATATCAGCTTGTTCTCGTTTCGATCAGCTTCTTCGAACGAGTTTCACTTGGTACGATGTTTTGTAATACTTTCGACCATCGATCTTGCACGACGGACGAAATTTCATTGTTCGAGGAAAGATAAACGCTTTCGGTCGACTCAATTGCCGCGGCTTCGTAGACACAGACCGCGAGAAACGATCGGTCTTCAACTAAACGTTTATCGCTCGTAAGCCACCAACTTGTTATACTTCCGCTACGTTTTATCCGGGTTTTAACGTTGCATTCCCGACTTTAGCGGGGGATTTCGGGATCGATCGTCTGTTCAACTTGTTGCGAACACGCGGCGACGAATCCTTATCCCGCGACCAGAGAAACAGAGAGTCCTTTCAACGACTTCCAATATTCCAAATGGACGTCTCTTTCCACCTTTATCCCGCGAATGCGCATTGTTTCATGTGTTTGGGGAATTGTTCAGCTAGCAAGATTACTGAACAAGGTATTTCACACGTTTCAATATACAAGCCCAATATATCGTTGTATTAACACTTTGACTGATGTTTTGTTTGATCGAAGATACGAGACGATGGCGTAAGAAAATGGTTGAAAATAAGACATCGTACACGGTTCATTTATCGTACAACTTATAATAGGTTTAAGATGGCAACTACTTATTCCGAACGATGTGTTTTAATTTACATATTTAAGTCTTTCACGTTTAAAGCATCTCCTTAAAATTTCAAGTAGCTTATTAAGAGACCGGAAGCATCTCTCGAGTACTTATCTCCCAAACACTTTATCAAAGGTACTTTTGTATACAGGATATTTAGGAGACTCTACTTAACCGAGGAGAAATGTATTCGATAACAATTGTAACAGCTGCATCAAATTTTGTTACGGCAACAATTTTCTTTCGCCATTTTCGTTTAACTTCGATCACGTACGAGATTTCAGTTTTTCAGTCGATGACCATGATACCAATCAGTGAAATAACCATAGACCAATATATCGATTCCATGGCAACGATGTGTCTTCCCTGAACATTGTAGCACACCTAAACAGTATTATGAAATAATTTTGATGACGATGATGCGGCGTTCGGTGGGATGATCCGGAGAAAATCGCGACGCGATCGTGCAACTTCTTTTCTTCGACTATCGAGATTACAATGCAATTAGTCGATATTAATGAGGAAAAGGACAGTTAAGTTTGAATAGGTGCCAATAGACAGTCTTCTGTCTCTCGTTTCAAAAATCAGACATAGAGATTTCTACTAATTAAATAAAATACTAATCGACTTTTATTTGTTATTTCTACGGTCTCAATTTCTTTGCACGATAAAATCTACTCAAACTGTGTCTAATTGAAAAATTCTTCAAACAACAGAGGAAAGGTAATTGTTCCTTTGAATTTCTTTGAAGAATATCTACTGTTACGTTAATCGTCGAGAATAAAATCGAAGTTACACGAACGACGATCGTCGCGGATTATTTTAAGCGGCCTATCAGAGTCGCGGCTCGTCCGATCCGATCGTTGTGCCGCGCCCTGTAAATACACGGACCTTAATTCGCACATTAATTCACGATGTTGTTTATATGTAAATGTGGGCACGTTCAAAGCAACGCGGCACGGCAGATTGGTACGGCGCCACGAGTATATTTTTGTAATTTTGTATTTTGAAGATTTCTCCGGTAACACGAGTTCCCACAATCACCGCTCGGGGAAGATACACTCGTCTATGTTCGTCGAAATCAGCAATATTCATTTGGTAATTATGATATTCATATGAAACAAAGAGTGAAATGTGATCCAGTGGATTGTATCATGACTGTTAACTTGGATCCTCGTCACAGAAAGGTCTCGAGAATGTTAATAATTGCACATAGTTACCAGTGATCGTCATAATTATTGTTATTGGCTAAAGTTATTAATTTCTTAACAATCAAACTTCATTTTTGTTTACTTTTGAAAAATCTTTAAATCGAGAAGATTTTTCAATTCATAGCGTTCTCCATCGATGATTCCCAAAGAAAATCATTAATTTCTCAGCAATCAAAATTCTCTTTCATTTGCCTCGCAAAAATAGATGAAAAAAGACTTTTCTTCACCCGCCAACGATATTCATTCCGCATCCCGTGATACGCTAGCCCGTTTATCGTCACTCGCTGATAACAAGACAAGTCTGTACATGAAAATAGAACACGTACAAGCTACGCAATTACAGAAGCCCAGGAGTCAACCTGCGTGTTCTATGTACCATTAACCGAGGCATGTTTACCAGGTACGCGTATGACGAGCCACCAGTCAGCGTGCAATTATTATCACGGGGATACTTTGTGCGTGCGGTTAGGCTGTTCGTCGCTTTAATGAGGCTCCCTCTTTGACACCCGAACACCATAACGTAACAACATGGTTCAACCGTGCGCATCTACTCTTCTCCCCGAAGGCTCTCCTTCACCCTGAACGATCGTTTGCAAACGATCAACGAGTAGATCCTTCGACGACCGTTTCTCTCGCTAATGACTCTGCGTATCTACCTGTTAGGTATATATGTTATATCCGCTTGAAGTCGTTACTCTGTGACAGGAATCAAAGCCACGATGGAGCTAAAAGGATGCGGATTGAATTTTATACAGTCGCGACTGAGATTTTTCGCTTCGAAACCTTTTCCAAGGAATCAGTCGTGATTCGCGAGGGTAAATAGAGATTCGCGTTTAAAGAACGACGTTCCAGGAGTTGTTACCGGTTTTCTCGTTGAATTGCAGTATAATTGATGGTTGATGGAAGACACCTCGTGAAACGAGTCTATTTTACGCCGATATCGACGATCAACGGACTTAATTGCGTCTGTGGTGAGAATATAAGACGTTCGATCGAGCCAATCGTTTATAGGGTTCATCTCGCTTCATAATTGAGCAGACAAATGAAGAATAGTGAGAACAGTTTTTCGAAATGTAAATGTAGAATATGTTCAAAGGCGTATTTTGAATCGTTAAAAAGTTGCTCGTTTTATGCTGCCAAAAAATAAGTACGCCAATTGCAAATCGCAAGGAAAATGTTCTCGTTTGAATGTACTTAAAAATCATCTGTGGTTCCGTCGTCCGTCTTGATTTTAAAGTGGTGCAACAGTTATTCCCACCGGGAATTAACTGAAACTACGTTTCGACCGACCTCTGTAGATAATACCCTTAGTTCTGACACTGAGATATTGGCGTGAAGTTCTTGATCCGCATCTGTGTACGGATGTAACTACCGTCCAATACACCGATCCGACCACAACCATCTGGACGTAACGCGCGCGTGCAATTAATCTAATTTAATGAACCAACGGATGCTTTGGAACACCGTGTTCCTCGGGGATTTCTAGTAACTCATTGTTTTCATGCCATTTTCATTCATATTCCTTTAGGATAACTTAAGAATGCTATTTCTTTCGTCTTGAACACGCCATTCTATATTCAATACTCGTGCATCGTTTCATTTAATTAAATTGACCCAAAACTGAAATCCGATATTCAGTAATTTTTTAATGGAGCGATTTATTTCTATCAAGTCTATTGATTTTTATTAAGAGCATTCAAAGAATATATTAATACGAGTGTAATAAAGATTTAAACTGTGCACGAGAAATATATATAGCGAGCTCGACAATGCTGATTTTTTAATACTTTAACGGCGAGTGTCAAAGTATTAATAACAGCATTTTCATTCAGTAAATACGATTCATTAATAGACAATAGACAAGTGTTCATTGATAAAAAACATATTTAAAGGCTGATATGGAACAAAAGTACCGTACTTTATGTTGTTCGCGAAGCATTTGTAAAATCAATGCCTCCATTCGCATTCGTTACATTCCAAAAATGACTATAATTTGTATGTTACATTAAGAGACATTTGAACGCATTCTCACTGGTTCTTTCATGGCTCCATAATGATTAGCTGATTAATTCTCGGAAATATTAAAAATCCTGATTTTTACCCGAACAAATTTCCGAGCATTAAATCAATCCTGAAGACAATGTTATTATTTAAATCGCATAGAGTTAAGTGTAACAAGCGTACAGCTCGTACAATCTCCCGAAATGTTTTTATTCACGAAATATTTTTAACCCGTTTCTTCGAAGACTGAAGATTTTTCGTTGAGACTCGTCGATCCCAAAGGAATTGCGTTCGTGACGAAAAAACACAATGATTATGCGAACGATCGGCGAGAAACTATGTCCGATACTCACGAGAAAATAACTTCCTAAGTGTGATCGAATGAACTAATTCGAACACGATCGTTTCGCGTGTGTTCACGTTTTATGTAAACGATTCGAACAACCGCGTGTACACGAGCGACACGATTTCATTGCGAAACGTTTACACGACACGATAAGACTTTAGTGTAAGCCAGTGTTGTCCAAACTAAGCTTCACGGCTTAAGGAACTTCCCTCACTTTGCATCCATTGCTGTAACATAGGAACGCTGGTTAATGTCAGCGATAATTTGTAAAGGATGCTTATTCATTTCTTCGTTCATCTTTTCTGTGAACAATGGTGGTATCAGTGGTGAAATTTGTTCAAGATCAATGAGCTGCTTAAAATCATCCTTAACAATTTATATTATCAGAATACGATTGTTTAATTTTTCAAATGAAAATTTCGATTTTGTATCTGACGAAGTTGACAATTTCGAAGGGTCGAATTGATTTTGAACAAGCCGCTGGTTTAATTAGTTCTAATAAGAAATCGTGCTATCTTGATCGATCAATCGAGTCGTGTCCTAATCATCATCGTCGATACTGCCTAACTCATTCCATCGCCACCTGTGTAAAGAATATTTATAGGAGAGACTTGAATTTCCACGTGTATACTGTAACGTGTAAGAATAAATACCGTACAGAACGCGAAGCATGTTCCTGACGAAGAGTTGTTACGGTGATGAAGAATTTGTTGGACGCGTCTTTTTCTCTGGATCAGCCGCGTTGCAAGTTTCATGTGCTTGTCGAATGTGTGCGAACATATAATATTATAAATAATACGGGGCCGAGTCATGAATAAATGACGTTTCATTAACATATTTTCGTACCTCGTACAGCTCTCCGTTGTACAGGATAAGAACGCTTTCAAGTGTTTTTATCGTAATAGGTGATTATTATAAATGTAAAGGAACTATGTTTGCGTGTCACGATATAGGTGTAAGGAAATTCCTTAGGGAAACGTAACGATCAGAATTTTCTTTTCATAGATCTTAGAGGAGATAGGAGAATTAAGAGGATGGATAATCGAACCGACTATTCTTTTCGAACGTTGATCATGCTTTCTTTTCTACTTTATATTGTATCCAAACTTTATTATTGATATTCATGTTATTATTACTATTATTATTATCATTATTATTCACGTAGCTGTGGTTAATATTTAATATTCCTGTCGATTTAATTTTAGATTTTACATCGTTACGTTGCGCTGTTATTGTCACGATAATTCGTCTCGACGATTATTATTTATAGAGAAATTTTGATTAGAGATACAACATATGCAGCTTGCCGTTTCTAACAGGATTTAAGTTTCGTATCTGTGTATTTTGGCCGGATATAATTTATACGTCATTGTCAATGTACTATCACTGTAAATATTATACATATTTTATAAATGAAATATTTAGCGTGACTGTATTAAAAGAATGTACTGAAAGCACCACTCTGTACACTCCACTACGATGGTTAAATTTTAATAAATATTTCCCAACCCCCTCGTTGTGTTTCTGTCTTCTTCGTCTATTAATTAGTTGATGAAACGATAAAGAGAAACACAATGTTTACACAATTTTTCCGTATAAGTTTCTTGTTTTATTGAGAAAATAGTTTTCACAGTCTCTCGAAATATTATAAATATAATCGATTATTTGGTTTTGACAGGTTTCAATATTTTTTCTTCTTTGGTCACTTTTTTCAACTTCGACAGGGCACTCTCTCCGTACTTGGTCACCAATTCCTCAACGAAATCGTCCTTCAGCTTTTTCAGACACCTGAAATGTCAATTTTCAACTGCAAATGAGTTAATTATCGGCAACAATTAAATAATGCTGACTGCGCTTGCAAAATGTAGATATAAGAGAGCTATAGCATATATTGAAGATATGATAAACATATTGCTACTTATTGTCAGCTCGATAGACGGGTCATTCTCCTCAATTATTCAAAAACTCGATCCCCTAATCGTTTATTTAGTGGCATATTACCTTCTATAAATGGAGTCGGTCCTGAACTTGCCGATGTCGAGACTAGGGGCGTGAGGCCGATGGATAATGAATGTATCCGGCAAGACAATGTACCTATATAAATCTTCAATTTATGGCATCGCGTTATAGTGCTTGGGTGCTGTAAAGTCATTTAATAAACATATTCTGCTCTTCTTAGCTCAATTACCCTAACACCCAAGTAAAGTGACAAAGCTTGTTATCTTTAATATTTCAAAATATCCAAAAATATGAAAAATTGGTATTTTAACTAAAGAGAGCAGTGCTAATTAAAAGCTTCTTACTTGTAGCCCAGCACGGTCAAATGCGTTAGATAGGAAACTTTGTTCCATCCGAAACCGATGAATCTGGTGTCGTACCTGGGTGCCAGTTTTGAGACGACGATATAAGGCTCGAAATCTGGTTCCCAGGAAACCTACGATGATATTCATTTATATACATATATATAAAAAAAAAAAAAAATTAATTATCCTCATCAGAGACACGTACTTCGTACGGTTCCATAGTATTTCGCCAATAACTATAATTTGTAGCTGCGTGACCCTGAGTCCAAACGTGATAACGAAATGTATACAAAACACCACGTTTCAAGAATTTCAGCAACTCATCCTTGTTCGCTGGAAAGGTAAACCTATAAAATGGACACATAGCATGGGGTGTACGATGCGATTCTTTGCTGCTTTCGAGTCGTACTTAATAAGGAAATACCTATAACGCTCGGTCTCGAATGCAGGCACGATTAAAGCTACTTTGTCCGACTCACTGATGTTCAATTTAACAATGTAACTCATAAGGGCTTCGTGCAAGCCGTACTGAGGCAGAAAATCAACGTCCAGTTGAAAAATGAACGGGGACGATACGTACGACATCGCAATGTTTCGTAGATAATTGATTGGATAGAGTTCCTATAAATTTTCAATTTTCTTGAAATGTGAAAGAAATACTTGTAACAAGAAATTTTGAAAGGCTAAATGTCATGAACGTTAAGAAAATTCATTTCACCCCGTCCTTGTACACCACGTGGTACGCGATGTTCTTCCTCTTCCTCAACTCAACGGATCCACGCACGAATTCAAGGAAATTCTGCAGTTCGGCATCAGTCAGGTACAGAGCGACGCTTATGGTACCAGGCCAATGTTTCGATATATCTTCTAACAACGGTATTCTTTCCACGCTGCATTGAGTTATCAGTGCAACATCCGCCGGTGCGTATACATTGTACTCGTACTCGAGGAGGAACGGATGTGTTCGGTACAAGGTGGTCGCGCCTCTGGTGAACTCTCGACAGGGGCTCGATTCGTTGTACTAATAAAAATTGCAAACTTGCTGTCACGTGCTGCGTACATTTAATTCGTCGCTCCTAAAGCTACACTTACTTCTGACACAGCTTCGTGTTTATCACAACCAAACAGGCGTCTACGTAGCAAATTTCCATCCATATCGAGGAAGATCTTATGCAACTTACGAAACTCGTTGATATGCTTATTATATACATCTTGCTTTCGAGGTGAATTCCAGTGCACAATCTATAAGATACCGCGTAAGAAGAAAAAACGATTCTATCGACGGAAACGACAAATTCCTGAGTACTATTACATACGTTTATACGACTAGTGTCGCGATAACACTGATCGCTGATCGTGTGATCGCTCAGCTGTATGTTCCAGGTGCATTCGATTTTATATACAATGGAAGGATGATCTTTGATAACGGCATTCATTATATCCTGATCGGCTAAGCTAGTCTCCGGTATGTATGCCAGAACACGCTTCGTAACTGTTTCCCAAAGACTCATAAATTTTCTGTTACGAAGTTGTTGCAAGTGCATTAGCATCACGCCCGTGTTATAGCCTCTACCAAGTGCCGGCCATGGCCGTTGACCGTAAGACAAAGCCTTTATGTACCAATGACTCTGATTTTCCGTCAACCCTAGGGCCTGATCGTTTGTGAACTTCTCGAACATCTGCCAAAGTAAATTAACGTCGTTCACCACGGTTACGTCCGTGTCGAATACCAGAACTTTATCCTCTCGCATCGCATCCGGCAGGATTAATTTCAGAAGACCGTAAACGCCAGAGTAATGCTTGTTAGGTATCCAGGACACCTTTGGTACCCATCTTTCCGCTTTATAGTACGTCAAGTTCACTAAAAAGAACGAGCCAACTTAGAAATTGCCAATTTTCCATCTCTTTGAAAGGAAAAATTGCCTCCTTAATAGTGATGGATTAATAACTACTTTGAACCGCTTCGAATATACAGGGTAAATTTAAGTTATTCAAAATTTCGTAACAATTAAATTATTATAGAATTTTCAAGATACAATATTAAATTTCCATCACTAATTCTGAACTCTCATCCGTTCTTCGAGAAACTTAAAGTCTAAATAGATTAATTGTCCAAATTTATTTCACCGACTGACCGTCGTGTTAATTGTTACAATCGGGGCAACGAGTGTTTAACGCGACCTCCACTGCTAATGAACCTACATACGTAACGTTAATTCTCGTGTGCGAGCTTTTTTTTCAGACAGCTTTCAATTAAGATCAATAAAAAAAAATTAACTCGATGGATCCTAATTCTAATTTTAAGAATCCTAATATGTTTGTCTCTCATTTCGTTCCACTTCTTTGTACTAAAATTTGTAAAATGGTGCAAACGAAACAGCTTATGGAAAGTAACAGAGAACGGATGAGAATGTTGTATCGCGGTAAAAGTATTACAAACCATGTGGTAAATCCCATGTTCGAAACACAGTTGTCAGTGTTCTCTTTGCAATCTCGTCGACGAGCAAGTGAAAATGCAAAGGTTTAGTACGGTAGAATAAAACAGATTTTACTACTGTCACCAGAGCGAACGTCGAGTTGTATCCGGCGCACACCATCGCTATATGTATGGTCTCGCATTTTGCCTTGAAAAAAATCAATCCTATCTATCGACAATTTCATCCTCGATGTTTCATTATATAATTTATATCTCACAGAAATTCTTCTGATAAATTATGTTATATTAATCAATTAACCCTTACTGAATCATTAACCCTTCTCTGGATTTTTTAATTTAGTTTCATAGATGGTTTCCTAGAGCCATTATTCAGTTTAAGTATGCAAATGTGGGCTTCTCTTGGGTAAGGGTAAGTGTAAAGGGAAGAGTTTCAAACTATACACCTTCGGTCTTGGGAAGACCAAGGGAGAAACCAGGGAGAGCCTAACTTGGAACCTCTTTTTTTTAAATAAAAATATGGACAGAGAAAGCAGATAGAGAGCACTTCCTTTTGCACCCTTCTTTTTAACTAAGGGAAGCTTAAATTTTTAAGTTTTGAAGGGCTACTGTGGCTCTTATAATCCGAAGAAGGGTTAAGGATACTAAATATTGGTACTCAGAAATTTCTATATTTTTTTTTATTTTCTAATCATTTAATCAACATGTTTACCTCGTTACGATTAGTTTCAGAATGTAATTTGTCAAAGATAGGTCGTTCCACGTGTAAGCTCTCTTTGCCAACGATTTTAAATGAATCGATGTCAGCGGAAGGAACTATAACACACGTGATATGAATAACAAGAAACAATGTTACAGTAGCGTCAGTTATTACCATTTAACAATAAATAGAGATAAAAAATCGCCGATGGCACTAAAACGCCGAACAAACATCCTAGCCATGATCGAGCCATTGCAATATGACAGACATATTTCCCGATTCGTTGAATGATTAGCGTATTTGCTTTATCCTATAAGGGTCGATATCTACAAACCAGAGAATACAAGATTTTTTAAATATAGGTGACTACAATAAAGATTCAATGAAAGCGAAGAAATCCCACCACTGGGGCAAATTTTTGAAACCCCACCTGTCGGCAAACTTCTAACAATATAGGAGGAGCTGCACGATGTAAACGTAAGTTCAGTCTCGACCGTATCGCTTTCATCGAATCTTTACTGTAAATGTCACTACATTTAAATCAATTAACTTTATTAATTTATTTAATTTATTTTTTACTAATTTGTCTCACAAAAGTCATCTCTTCTCTAATTTATCATAATTTGTTTTTATTTCTATCCGTATACAAAGTACACCTTACATTTTGAATGATTTGTCAATCATGTAACTGGACATGCGCTAACGTGACACAGAACGAAAACAAAAGAGATAAGATAGGTTAAAAAAGTATCGGCTGCAATACGATCTACTTACCTTGAACAACAAGAATATTGTCATCGAAGTTACGACATGAAATTGAACACCAAACACGTACCTCTGCTGTCGGAACCTTTTTTCTTTCCACAACTGTCATCCAATTAAATCCATCGCTCGTAACAACTTTGAAATACCGACTTCGAACACGATCAACGATACAGTATCGTGAATTTTTTTTGCACAGAAATTTATTGGAACGCCAGTACCCGTTTGCCTTTCAATGAACCGCTGTTATATCTCGGCCCGTTCGTCGTAAAGCAAGGAAATTCGCGTAATTACAATTAGCCAGGAACAACGTCCGAACAGCATGCATTCTAAACACTCCGAAGCAGGAAGTCTAACATAAATAGTTTAATCACTGGATAACGCAGTGGTAGAATTACTACTCTGTCCGAGTAAAGCAACAGAAGTGGTCGAACGGTCGGTAACTCTTAACGTAGTTATTCACTTTCGTTACGAGATGGCAATGTTTATTTCATTGAAGTTAGCCGCGTATATTAAACAACCGGAAATGTTTTTCAAAAATTTAAAAAGATCATCGTTCGAAGGACGTTTTGTATTTCTTTAAATCGAGCAAATTATTTTCGCTGGTATTGTAGGAAATCATATTTTACAACTTCTTTTATACATTTTATTGCAGTATAAAATTGTATACATTGTATATTAAATCATATACATATTGTCAATATAAAGTGATATTCTCTGTCATAAATAAGCTAACAATTTTGTCTTATACAATCTCTGCTTTAACAAGTAATTTAAATTAAATGCATCATCTTGTATAGTGATTTTACATACTTATGCTAATTATAAAAATAATTGTACTTAAATTTGTAACCCTATCAACTAATACGAATACTTTGTTTAAAAAATAAATATAATTAAATTCTAAAATGGATAAATGATAGAAGTATAATGTGTAATGACATGAGGCAAGTCATAAAAAAAGTGTTTTTTTTTAAAGGAGGGTCTAATGATACCTAATTGATATCTGTTGCTTTACTGGAATAAGTAGTTGGTTCGTCGTCTTCTTTAATTTTTCTTAATCTTTGAAGTTCTGCACTCCTTGCTCTAAAAAATCATTTTTAAATATTATCACTATGTTAAATAAGAATACTCATAATAGTTATTGTCCAATTTTATTACCTGTGCAAAGATTCCTCCTGCTCTCGTTGTTCTCTCTGTTTCTTCAAAACTCTAACTGCCACACAAACTATTAGCAGTAGAATCGGAATTAAACAAGCGAATATTATTCCAGTGGTAACACCCGCCTGTCGAGAACTATATTCCTGTTGACCTGTGATTTTTAACAAGATATGTAATATTAAACACAATGTGCGTTCTCCCTTTCTAGATTTTATATCAGATAGATTTATAAATAATTTAAATAGGAAGGACAAAGGATTTATGGATAATAAAAATAATATAAAATGATGACAATATTTCTGGTGGAAATTTCCATTCCACTATAGTGATTCTAAATCGATGCCTAAATGTTATGGCAATTGATTTTACAAATGCATGTGGAATAGAAATTTCCTGAGTATTTAAATGGTATAGAAAAGTTTATTCAACTATATTTGTACATTAATTAGCAAGTGTATTTTATACAATCATGCCATAATTACAAAACTTGATACTGAATTTTAATGCGCTCAAAATTAATATTATGCATTAAACTGTATAAAAATATGAAGCTCATTTGCGATTTAATGATATGTATAATATTTAATAATAATCGTTCCGTAAATGAAGAACATTTCTATTCCACAGCAAAAATAGCATGTACATGTATATACAAATGGAATCTACTTATTCACGCTTGACGTATAATTTAATTCATCTTTTTATCAGTCCAGTTCATTTTTCGTGCAAATGATATTCGATTATGTGCGATTCTATTCTGAAGCGTACGCTCGCGAATACTTATGACCCGAAATATTTGTCATGGAAGAGATGCTTCCAAAGAAATTTTAATGCATAAATGATGAATTCCCGAAGGTGTGTCAAGAATGTCAAGTGTACGAGTTTTTATTTTTCGATTTGTCAAGGATTACAGACGGTCCACGACAGGGGCGAATCCAGTACAGGGATAATCGAGACGATGAAAATAAAAAATCAGGAAAAAATCATAAATAAACTTACGTGAACTTAGTCAGTATTCTTTATAGACAATGATAGAAAGTTCTAATACGAAGAACTAACCAAGTGTTACACTCACTTAAAAAAAGCTTGACTCGCAATCTAGAGATCCACGGTTCAAATCCTTGGTTCCCAACATTTTTTTTTTTTAATGATAATTTGTCTCTTTTTGAATAACTATTACCTAAAAATTATCAGTATAAAAAAAAAACGGGAACCCAGGATTTGAACCGAGGACTTTTAGATTGCGAGTCATGTGTTTAACCACGGAGCGGATCCATGACTCGCAATCTGAAGGTCCTCGGTTCAAATCCTTGGTTCCCAATAATTTTTTTTTTTTTTAATGATAATTTTTATGTAATAGTTATTCAAAATGAGACAAATTATCATTAAAAAAAAAAAAAAAATGTTGGAAACCAAGGATTTGAACCGTGGATCTCTAAATTGCGAGTTGTATGTGTGAGTTTGTCGTACTTCAGAATGTAAGGAATAACTAACTGTAATTGTTAATATCTTTTAAACAATTAGCGGTCTGCCCCCAAAAGGGGGTATAGGCATGTTCAGCTCGACGAGCTCTACAAGCTCGCAAAGTTTCATTAATAAGTGAGTGTAACACTTTGGTAGTTCTCCTTGTAAGTTAAATTCTTCCTAGGATCTCCCTGAGTTCTGTCAAAAGTAAAACATCAAAAGGTGCACAAAAAGATTCAGAATCTACTTTTATATATTTCACCCTCCAAACAGGGGTTTTCTGGATTCGTCCCTGGACCACGACACTTTATCCCAATTATTTTATACGTCGCTCTCTTTCGTGGGACTTCCAGCTTTTCTAATGGACTCTGTCATGCTTTTCTCCGAATCGGTCGGGGAATTAGGTTCTTTAAGGTCCCAGTCTTTGTCCTCGAAATCAACATTCGGTCTGTTTGGTAATGGTTCGTGTGTGCGATAGACTTTGTCGTAACTGTGAGGTTTCTTGACCGTACTGGCTGCAGTACTGGTGTCGCTAACTGGTGAAATTGGTCTTTCGTACGTTTTCAACGGTGTAGCCTGTTTCAGCAACGTAGATTCGTTATCAACACCGGAACTGCGTTCAGAATAACGCCACGAGTTCACGGAACCTCCCTGTTTCTGATTCTTTCGTATTAAAAAAAATGAACCCAGGATACATCCTATTATAGGAATTGACACGGCGAAAATAATGCCCATCGTTGTCCATGCTGTACGCTGGGCATACTCGATCTGACCTAAATTTGTGTAATACCAAACAATCTTTATTCCTTTTTACCCGAGCGAGGCATAAGATTATCGTGATGTACCGATGAATTATCATGTTCGATGCATGACTGCAGATGTTGAGATAATTAACAAAATATGTCGAGGAACAAATGCAGAAGCAGGGTAATGATGTACGAATGTCGCAATGGAAATGGTTCATTTCAAGAAAATTAATGAAGAATAGTCTTAAAAAGATTATCCACTTACGTAGACACTCTGTGTATCCGTACTCCGGCACGTTCCAGCGACCTTCCGGCGTGCACACACGTCGTTGATCACCAATCAACGTGAAATCTTGATTGCATTCAAAAGTAACCTTTGTCCCCGGTACAAAGAAGAAGTTACTCTTGCGTCCGAAACGTGGTGTTTCCAATACTCCACAAGATACAACTAAAAAATAAAAAACATAATAACGCAAATAAGCAAATAAAATTAGCAAATTAAAAATAAAAGCAAATTAATAAAGCAAATTAAATTAGCTGTTTTTTGTTTATACACCATGAACAGCTTTTATACTACTTACCGCGTTGATTCATATTCAGGTCTCTAATTTGAGTGTACGTATTGTAATAGTTTTTCGTAAAGTGAGCCAAGTCTCTATTAAGCGATAACGCGTAATCGTATTGGCATTGATACAAATCTCCGCAAAGATCAATAGCTCGTTGTATGTCGTACGACCTGAAATAAAATAAGATAAATATTCCTTTCTTTTCTTTAAGAAATAATTCATCATGTTTCTCATTGATTTTAAATGGAACGATGATCACCTGTTAGATGGTATTATTTCCGCCGGTGTTTTCCTCCATTCAGCTTCGAAAGTTCTATTTGAATAATAACTAGAGGTTCTACCGAATTTTCTAGTGAACAAAGCTCCCCCTTTCTGCGCATCTTCCTTGTCTTCCAGCATCCAGTTTAGCCCGAAGTCTTTGTGAACGGTCTCGAAGTGATTCAAATTGGTGCCGGAAACTTGGTTGCCATCAGGAGTCGTCAGGTCGTCCGTGATGTCGAAGTTCCATGTACCAAATAGTCCTTTAGTCTTGTTCTAAAGTAAGTTAAATGACAATGTTCATTGTCATGACGATTCATTGTGATTCGGTATCTGTACTCGGGTGCAACGTAGCCTTCTTTTAGATTAAAGGTAGCCTAAATTGCGGGTGAACGTACGTACCAAATAAGTCCAAGGTAGATAAACCCTGGCCGTCATGTACCCCTCATTTTCTACAATCTCCACGCCAGCACCCGTGTCGAACATGATAATCACTTCGCTTTGATTTAGAATATAAGTAGGCGTGTAAACTACAACGCCACTGAAATGTTGAAATTTAAGGGCCCGTCTGTCGAAATACACTCGTTGTTCATTAGCGAAGACGTCGAGACGATACCTCCACTGAGCGTGTTTAGGTCTCAAACGAACTTCAATGGTGGCTGAATTGTTTCCTCTTGCTGTGTAAAGAAAAATAAAGTATGGTTATAGAATCCTCTTACAAACGTAGATTTATTATAATTATATAAATTACCAGCAATAGACGTCAACTGAGTAGCTTTAACTTCGCCATATACGTTGTTCGGTAATTGTTCGAACCTGGCTTGAATGTCGAGTTTATCTTTCATGTTATTTACGCGTACCAGGACAAATTCCCCTTTTCCATTGAACGTGTACTCAAGACCGTCAAAAGTAACGACATGAGGGTCACCGAACACCGTTGCCACCGCTGGAGACTGATAAGCGATACAATCTTGACTCGGTCGTCTTTCGAATCGGAACGTTTCGCAACCAACAGCGTGTTCTTCTTGCCATAAACAGCACATATAGAATGGTGCAACATCATGGTGCCAGTGTGAAAGGGTGGGAACCTTGTTCGCCTCGTCCCATGGGTAATATCCTAAATTATGGGATCGATGCGGCCTGGAACCCCATTGCTGATCGTACGTTAACATCAGATATCCTTTGTGGTCGTAACAGCATTGTTGCTCGGAACCGTCCATACTATCGTAATAAATTAGAATAACAAAAGGAGAAATATTTTTTTTTCAACTGTAAAATTTAAATTTTGTTTAAACTTCGTTTACCTAGGTGCGCCAGTTCTCACGCAATGATAAGCATGTTTATTGTACATGCAATCTAGATTCGAGTCCTTGTCACAATCGTAATCCGGAAGGAAGCGACCTTTATCGGTTAATGCATGTTCCACGATACACGGGCACAAGGCCACCTCGCCCGCGAAATTTTTCAGGTATCTATCGTTCATTATCCACTTATCGCAAAGTTTTTGAGCCCATGCCGATCCGTACATTCTTTCCCACTGCGGACCAAAGTACCAGGCCAATGGAATTGGTCTACTCCACAAATTTCTACAGAAGTTTCTCTGTTTATTACTCATCAATTCTATTAAAATAACTTCTTATATAATTATTTTATCCTAGCTTACGTACGGTGTAATATTTAGGCCAGTTTGTTTCATCGGGTCGGTCAAATTCAGCTGGATGAATCCAAAATTCATATCCTGTTGGTACCGATTGGTGCGGTTACGCAATGAAGCTGGACGGATAATATAGGAACCGATATTCGTGATTCCTTGCTAAGATTCAACACACAATCATTAAAAACATGAAATTATCTACCATGTATTGTTTAATAGGGTTTTCTTTCACGAACCTCCAAAATGTCAATGTACTCGAATTCTGGGGTAGTTTTTGTCTCACGGTATCCCCATAATGCTATCTGTATGCCAGCATTTAAGTTGTTGGTCAAATTGTGAGGCTTCCAAGTGATTTCTATCGTGGCAGGATTCTTCTCGTGAACTGTATTTGATACTTTGAGCTTCTCCGCTGCCGTGGCTGGTGTCTCTATCGGTACAATTGAATCAGACATCTAAATTCTAATACGGTAGAATTCCGTTTGTTCGAGTTTCAGCGATCATCTTACCGATAAAATATTTCCCTTTCCAGTTATAAGTTTTACTGTCACCAATGCTGATCGCAAATCGAACGTATCCTTCTGCCCTGACAAAGGGCTGAACACAAATCGCACGATTTTTGTCGATCACAGTACCGGTTACTACTACAGTTTCAAACATACATCGAATCATCTCTGTCTCGTTGAAACATGGACCGGTGATATTCACGATGGTACCACCTAACATGTTCCCGCTCTCAGGCGCGAACACGAGATCTAAATTTGCTCCCGCTGGAAAAAATTAACATTTCGATAACGATTAATAGTCGTTCCGTTTACGTTTATCGTTCAGTATTACCGATGTCTTTGTTGCAAGTGCCTGGCATTATCTTTTCGTCTATCCTGAATATGTGACGACCTGGAAAACCATTTGCCCATCCTCTACCCGGTAGATCACGAATCGTCGACTTCTGGGAGTATGGTTTGTATTCGTATCTTTCTGTACCATTTCCGGCATTGAAACCGACCTAGGTAAAATAATAAAATATAGCAAAATAATATAGTATAGATTGCGAGGAGAGAAATGAACGACGATACTTACAAACGCTGCTACACCACCTTCTCCACCCGTAGTGTCACCACCAGCTTCCGTGTGACTGGTCCATTGAATGTCCAAGTAATTAAATATCACGTATGTAGTCACTTCGTCGGTGGCTAATACCATTTGAAAGGTGTTCGTTTTGTAAAGGGAATTGTCGATACCACCAGCGAAAGACATGTTCTTCCATGTAACTATAACTGCATGCTTGGGTTCAAAGGATTCGGTACCGATAATTCCCTCCCGGATATCCCATTTAACGCGTTCGCGCATCTCAACGCCAAATTGATCCTTTCTATTTTCCAAGTCCCTCTCCATTCTGAAATTTATTTTTAAAAAGAAATTATAATATTACACGTACGATATGTTTATCAAATCGTTAAACTTGTTCAATAACCTAAAGTATACTCCTGGTTTTCTTTGATCGATGTCGGTTTTTCTTATTTTCCCTATACGACACTTGCTGAAGAACATTCCTATGAAGCTGGGATCGTTCTTTTTTGGCCAATCTTTAACGGGAAACACGAGGGGGTAGGTGTAGTGCACTGGAGGATCGCTGAATTCTATGAAACCGTTCATGGATATCTGGAATATTATGTGTTTTGCTTTATTCGATACAATACTATCAGTGAATTCTATTCAGAGATAAGTGGAGGCTTAAAATTACAAAGGTCGTAAATTCTATGATACTCATTGCCATTAAAGTGTTAAATTAATATGCTATTACAAAATTATTATAGAAGTTCTTACTGTACCATCCTCACTGTTGAAAAATTAATTGAAAAAATCATTTGTAACGTACCCTGGTATAATTATATCTAAATTTATAGAAGGGCAATTGGAAGTTGAAGTTCTTATGTATTTGCGGTGTGGAAGATTGAATTTGTTTTTGATAATCGCCTTCGTCGTCGTCACCACCTTTGTCGAAGAACCAGTACATAAACTTCGATCGAATTTCTTTTAACCTGGTTTCCGTTAAAACGTAATCAAGAACTGAATCATCCGAACGAGGAGCGTATCGATCCGCTTCCGGTAAATCGGAATCTAGAAAAACACGTAAATTCCAATATTTTCTTCTGCAGAATGATATATGCAAGTGTAACAATGCAATAGAATGATATTAAAATGTATCAGGTAGAAAATTTGTTTTTTGTGTAAAAGGGGTACATGACGTTCCATGTTTAAATGTTTAATTTAACTTTTCATCAACTCATTAATACGGTTTTCATTGTTAACCATTCATTTCTTGTTAAATTGAAATATTAAAATTTAAATGCCGTAATGGTACTGATTGTTATTCATTGTTATATTACAGCGTTTTGGGTAGGTATTCACTTGGTGTAATAGCGTAATTGTACTTTTTAGAAATATCATTCGAGGATTGAAGATCAACGAAATACGTTTTCACAAATTAATGATATAAAAGGACGATTCATAAAAGACAAGCGAAATAATTTTAGTCATGATATCAAGTGCAAGAGGAAGATTGAAGTACACCGTAATTACGAAAGTCGTGGCGATACAAAATCCAGTGATTCATCTCCGATTCACGTTACGGTGAGTAACTGATAATGGAAGATAAGATCAAATCCATTAGTTAGGCCGTATAACAAAATAACACGATTGTACGATGTACGTTTATTATCCAAGATCAAACCAATTCCAAAAAAAAGAGGGGTACGGGAATCTTCAAATTAACTTCAATGAATAATATAACCATCGATTTTCAATTGAACGAATGATGATTCAACGTGCAATGAAATAGAAAAAATAGTGGTCACGCCCATTGATATCGAAACACTCACCGTATCTCACATATTTTTCACTTTTTCCCCCGGCCATTTTACCAGATATACCATGAGAAACGCTAACTTCTTTTTTAGCATTATTTTCTTGACCTGAATTTTCATTCACATTAGCTGGAACATCCCCATTTACCTCCTTTACATCGTCCTCATTATTGCCACCCTCGCCGCCGTTCAGATTTTCCACTTCCGACAATGGATTTTGTGCTTCCACCTTTTCATCATCTGTGTTACTTCCTGTATAGATCGATTCTTGATTATCCGGGAATTCAGTCTCGTCCAATCCAAACGCGTTTTCGAATGTCTCGTTGTCGATTTGAGCCGATATTCGTACAATTAATATGGATAAGAGAAAACAACCGACGAGAATCGATTTTGCGAAACCGGAAACGCGATCAGAACGTAACTTGTTTCGCATTTTTTATTAGGGTAAACGAACCGATTTCTCTATTGTACTGGAAGAAACTGAGCTTGATTTCAGGTAACGAAGCGTGATAACGATACTGATATCAGTTATATTGTGATAACGCGAGTTTATCTCTTTACTACAGGTGGATAAGGTACGGGTGAGAACTTTGACGAATATAAAATGAAACGTAGGAGTGGTGCCCTACTTTCGGAAGGGCACGGTTGTGCCCTTTAAATGATCGATGGAACAATAGAATATCATTGATCTCGAACAGAGATCGGTACGGTTTTAGTTTCATGTTTTTGTTGTAGCTGATATTAAAAATCACCAAGTTTTTAAAGTAAGATGTTTATTGTATATCTGGAATGAGGTGTTATTTACAAAAGAAACGTACGTTATGTGGTCACTTTTAAAGTATGGTAAAAGATCTCGATACCTTTTTTTTTTCTTTAATCTCTTAGATAATGTGTTTTACAATAAAACATACGTAGTATGTATAAAGAATACTATGTGTAAAATAATAAAAAAAAGGAAAAGAAATAATTTTTTACTATTTATATTTCCTACACAACGGAACTAATCGTAAAAAAGAACGATAGGAAGATTTTGTTTCTAATGCTATGCGTTGATGTTCTATGCATGTTGGTCTGAAATTGCACAAAGCGTAATGATTTTGAGGAATATTTATTAAAACACTAAATATAAGAAATCGTTAGGTTTAAAATGTGTTCATCTATAAATGCATGGTATGATAAATGTACACATGAACACTGATAGATGTTCTTAGACAATACTATCTTGTATTTGTCTTCCTTAAATTGTTATTTTTTCGTTTTTTCAATATTTCTTCGAACTTTCATCCCATAAGAGATTTTGCAAAAATCTTAAGTGTAGAATGATTTTTTTTTTCTCGATTTGTACTGCCATTGTGTCTTGTATACCGATATTGTCACAAACGTTTGTAAAGAAACTATATTACATATTTCATGTTACGTGGTATTGTAAAATATGTTCGATTAATAGCACGTATCACAGAAGAAACCTACGAAAGACTCAAATTCGAGGATACCAAAAATGCAGATATGAAAAAATGTTCCTATAGTTTCATTTTCGGTTAATGATATTTATGATCTACAGCAGAGATTTGAATGTAATATCGTGGACATGAACTATACGCTTGATCATTAAGTGAAACATTATTTATAACATTTTATTTGTAGTGAAATAATTTGTTCCGACTGAGATGTGGTAGTTTTAACATTACGAAGACGAAGAATTATCTCCATTACTGTCTAGGTACCCTCCTGAACCATTCACGACAAACGACGTTCCCAAACCGTACAAATGACCGCAATATTTCGCATCATCAATATTATCCTCGAAAAACATCTAAAATAAATTTTGTTCATTATTATACTTTCGATATAAACACTGTTAATATTTATGTTAATTACGGAAAATTGTCAATTACCTCTCGCATTTTGAAGAAGACCATTCCCGTAAGTAACGAATCAGATCCAGCTTGATGTTGCGGACCAACTCTTTGAATTTCCAATTGTTCCGCTACCTCTTGTAGGCCTCCTTTTAGATTTTTGCACGATTTCATTAAATACTGAACAATAGAAAATTATAAATTATAATAGCTTCGAAAAATATTATTATTAAGATTCATCCGACGTAATATCTTGAATAAACATACTTTTACATCGTATATCGTTGGAAAATATATCCTAAGAAGTTCAAAGAATTCACTTTCTTCGTGCGGCAAATTTTGGTCTGTAAGAAGTTTCAATAGATAGCCAAAATCGTAACCAGAATGAAAGGATAGCCATTTTATGTCATCGACCAGAACAATTCCCGATGTCATCAAAAGTTCGGCAAAGTCTAAAGGGTCGATACCCTCTTCTTCGTGTTTTTTAAATTGTATACCACTGTTTTGTAGCATGTCTATACTGTCTTGCGCATACATGTCTTCCCTAGAAAATGTTTAGATGATTCGTCTCGATATTCATTTCATAATAACATCATGAAATATCAGCGGAACTTACTGTAAATTAAATTTGAAATTAAATTGCCACGTCGTATAACTACCGCCAGGTGTATTTCCCGATTCATCGAGAAACGTAAGACCGAGTTGAATTATTCGCAAAAGATCTACATTACACCGCAATAACTGATACTGATAATCAGCGCTAGTCCTGAATTCGCCTAGAAAATTGTAACATAAATATTTAATATTATAAATGATTAATACGAAATTGAATGATCCCACTTTATCTTGTATCTTACCAATAGGCCTAGCTACTACACCGGGAAATTCGGTATCCATCGCAATATACTGATATTGCTGTACAACTTGTCGAATGGTGCGAAACTCTTCTTCGAGGTTGTGACCCCAAACATCTCGGATCCCGCATTCTTCATTACTGGGCATAGTCGCCCCGCCCTTCTGCTGCCCTATAGGGTTACCTCCTCCTGGAAATTTTTGAAAACAAATATTTTTCTATATGATACGAAAAGTGAACTAATAAATTATTATCGTCAACTTTTCGAAGATTGTACATTTATGTCTTGTTCTACAATTTTGGGGCCTAACTGTTACCTCATTGCAAGCTTTAAAGGACTAGGAATAACCATTTCTGGTTGGTATTGTTTACATGTAAAATCTTTTTATTGCCTTGAGTAAGCATTAGTTCTTGAATCGAAAAATTGCTTTAATTTATATGTGGATAAGACCAACCATAAATGAGAATGATAAAACTGGGAACAATAATCATATGCAATAACTTTTATACTAGTACTGATTTTTATTTTCTAACACTTTATTTATATTTTAACCAAAATACTGATTATTATCATCTTACAGAGCCTACAATAGTGCTCATATAACTGCACCTTCTAGTAATTGTGCATTCTTCTGAAATTCTCTGAAAGCGCACACCTTTTCTTGCAGCAACAGGGACTGTATATTTCTTGGGAACTTCATTGCATGTTCTAATCTATTCTACTACTTTCAAAGAGGACTTCAATTATGTAGCTCTTCTGAGGGGATGTTTGACGTAATTTCATCCACACAAATCCAAAGTACTTTATTTACCTTCCTTCACAGTTCCTGCAATAGGTATGTGTCATACTCATTATTTAAAGGTCATATATTTATATTTCACCTTTGGTACTCGTTATACAATCAACTGTTATTCAACTTCAACAAATAAATGTCAAGTCCAATACTTCTCAAGGCTTACTTCAATAAACTATATTATCACCTCTATGGACCATTTACCACACCAGTGGAGAAAATTAATTTTAATATAAAGATTGTACAGCACAGTATCCTTGTATAAAAAGTTATCATTTTTTAAATTTGTAATATATATAATGCTTACCGGTAGCTGAGGGCATAAGGTTAGATATTCTTGTCTTCACCGGGGCTATTTTTATGTTTGATTCCCACTGTCACAGCTTTACCTTCTTCATATCACTGTAAATATATACATAAACATTATCATTAGTTCAGCAGTTTCCAATGTATGTTATGCAGATCTGACTTCATAAACATCATTTATGTGTATTACACGTACATTACAATAAAGAACGGCGCTACAATTTAAATTCAACAATAACTAAATAGCCATTTCAATTTAAAGGTTAGAAGTCCGCGCAAACAAGTACCGCTTTTTGGAACAAACATATGATCAATGAAACTTCAAAAACATAACAGTAATATAATATATAATGGAATAGTGAAATCTAATTATGAAAGATCGCCTTGTAAAGCGTTAATTACTAAATAAATGTTTAGTTGAAGCATAGGTTATGTACTGCAGATAAACAAAAACAATTTTTTCAGGAGAATATGAAAGAAATAAGCATTATAATGTACCTCCTTGTATATTCGTTTTCCCACACGATGTTTTATTATGTATTATACGAAATAAAGCTTTAGAAAATACTTAACGTGCCTTTAAATCTTCTGTCACCTCCGAACAGGTTAAATGAGTGTCCAAACTCTGAGCAATTCTCTGTATATATTACCTGAAGTTGGAGCGCCAAAATTGCTGGATTAGACCTCTTCTTTTACAGCGGTGTTAAAACATTTTATTATGGATCGTCGGTAACATAATCCAGGAGGGCACCACAAACATAATCCCATGATTAATCTACTTCGTGATATTATCATCAGGGACAACAGATCCAAGAAAAATGGATATGCCTTTGTTTCTTCCGACAGTCGGTGATCGACCCTTCGGCAATCGGTAAGTTAACAAATAGTTTGCGCCGCTTTTGTATAGATAGCGCAATGGCCGATGGCTTGGGGTGTTAGGGACCCCGAAGCATACATGATATTCCGAATCTTCCTACGCAAAGCCAGGTGACGCTAGTAAGACTGTTTTCAAAGCGTGCTTCGTTATAAAATCAAAGAACATATTCAAACGAAGCTTGCAGAATAATTTAAGTTTATTAAATTAATTATTTTATGTTAATGTAATGTTCTATATTGCTACTATGCAGATTAAGCAATTATAACGTTTCATTATTAATTAAAGAGAGTTTAAGGGGGTAGACCTTAAAAAATTCTTTACATCACTGCTTCCCTTACATTCCTTACATCTCTGCATTCCTTACATTCCTGCATCCCTTACATGTCTGCATTCCTTACATCTACGCATCCCTTACATCCCTACATCACTTACATCACTGCATCCTTTTACATCCTTGCAACCCTTTTGTAAGCATCCCATCATAGCGCCTTCTGGCGGTAAAAAAGGGAACTAAATCATGCAGAAATTTTGGCCCTCTAGCGGCAAAAATGCGAACTAAATTTTCGACGTCGAATCAGCGCCATCTGGTTTCAGAAAAAGGAATTAAAGCTTGTCGAAATTTTGGCCCTCTAGCGGCAAAAATGTGAACTAAATTTGCGACGTCGAATCAGCGCCATCTGATTTCAGAAAAAGGAACTAAAGCTTGCCGAAATTTTGGCCCTCTAGCGGCAAAAATGTGAACTAAATTTGCGACGTCGAATCAGCGCCACCTGGTTTCAGAAAAAGGAACTAAAGCTTGCCGAAATTTTGGCCCTCTAGCGGCAAAAATGTGAACTAAATTTTCGACGTTGAATCAGCGCCCTCTGGTGGCAAAAAAAGGAACTAAACCATGCAAAGATTTTGGCCCTCTAGCGGCAAAAATGTGAACTAAATCTTCGACGTTGAATCAACGCCCTCTGGTGGCAAACAAAGGAATTAAATGTTGCAAAAATTTAAATTTAAAATTATTTTTCATGAGATTTTACTTACCTTTACTTACCTTTACTTACCTTTACACGAACCAGTGGCCATAGTATATTATTTATTTAGTTATTATAAGGGTTGAAAGGATACAAGAGATGCAGGGAGAATTCAGGAGTGTAAGGGATACAGAGATATAAAGGGTACAGAGATGTAAGGGATGCCGAGGTATAAGGAATGCTGGCATATACGAGATGCAGGAATATAGGTAATGTAGTGATATAAGGGATACAGGGATGTTAAGGGTGCAGACATGTAAGGGATGCAGTGATAAAGGGTTGGATCTCGTGAGGCTCTTAAAGACAAAAAAATAATAAATAACTGGGAAGGTTGAGCCGAGGCCCATGAAGAGGGATAAAATAATAAATGCTTGGGAGGCTGTTCCACGCGAGGCCCGAAAATAGGGGTAAAATAATAAATAAAAGGATAAAATAATAGGCGAGGCACACAGATGTAATAGAATAAACACGTTCATGCTCCTAATGAGTTTATTCAATAAGCTAAGAAGATAAATACAGCAAATCCTTCCTTTTAATAACGCGTAAATATGTCTGTGAGTGACGCTGAGACGTTGTACGCATGCTAGAAAACAAGGCAGAGAAATGTTATATGTGTACTCTTACAATGATAGTACAGTAAAACCTGTTAAAAAGGACATCTGATAACAAGTAAAACCCTTATTAAGGGACACTTTTTAAGGGATACATAAAAACTAATTACGTCATCATTTAGAATCAGCACTATCAATGACAGATGTAAATATTTCTTTAAACATTATAATTTAATTCTATTTCGTGTCAAGAATTTTAAATCAGAAGAACATAACGATAACGAAGAAAGGTGAAAAAAAAGTTATTCTGATTTGTCAATTTTCGAAGTTTCACATTGAGGATAAAATAGATTTTACATTAACGCACTTTATATATCGCAGTTTGGATCAATTAACCTTGGTTTTTAATTAAAAATTTATAAATAAATGTCAGGGATCGAAACCTATGAACGATACATCACGTTGAAGTATTCCAACGGTTATCTATATTAATAATTAAAAACAAAAACGTTTGATAAAATGCTTATCAATTCGTGTGAATCAGTTAGGTCAACATCGTTACAGCTCTTCGCTAGTATAATATTAATAAAACAGTGCGTCAAGTGTACAAAGGGACAGGTTGTAATTATTGTCGATGGAATTGTTGCAACGGGGTTGCAACGTGTCGTGTTTCACCCATTTCGGGCACGTTTAATAGCTACAAAAAGTGAAAATATACAACTACAAGTGTGGACGTTGTGTACATACGAACAGCGATAAAACGATGAAGTGTTATATCTGGTGTTCATCTTCAAGAAAATCCCCTACCTAAAAGCCGCGCGATCTATATATACTCTGATCAATGACTTGGAACAGTATAGTTTCAAAAGATACGTGACGAAGTTACATTGTGATTGTAAAAAGTAGAAATATCCAGAAATAAAAAATGAACGGCAGAATCGTTGCTTTGTTCTTGGTTGCTCTGTGTTGCGTCCTAATGATGAATGAAGTATCATCGTCTGTAGGTCCACGTATGTAATTTTATTTTATTTCTTTTCATAAGATGAAAAATAAATGCAAACAAGATACTTTAAACGATATTTTATTTGCCATGGAATGTGCTGGAGAGTTCAAATATTATCTCCTTTCACTTTATTATTTTATGCAAATTACATGGCGTAATCGTCCACCATCTTTCTTGGACACTGTTCAATCTCTACTTTCTAGATCTTTACATTAGCATTTAATATCCATGTGTCAATTTAATAAAGAAACCTTCTGAATTAACAATTTCTTTTAAATACAATGATTTTAATATTTTTCAATTATTAAACAGAATGTCTTATGCCACTGGAACGCGGACCATGTAGAGCACTGATGAAAAGATACGGATACAATCCAGAGACGAATAGATGCGAAGAATTTTTCTTCGGTGGCTGTCAAGGAAACGCAAACAATTTCATGAATCTGGATATGTGTAAAGAAAGCTGTTCGTAAATGTCATGGAGTATGACAGCGTAATTAGAGCGTGCCGCTAAGGATGGAATAAATTATTGACGTGACACACTTGTACATGTGTATTATTGGATATTTAACAGATCAGTTTTGTTATGCTGCATTTTGTTACGTTGATCAGAATATAATTTTCTAGAAAACGATGAAAAAACAAATAAAAATAATGTTTAGTGTTTCAAAGTAAACAAGAGAAAGTGTGTATTCGAATGTGAAAATGTATAAACCTACATTAGGTTGCAATATGTGGTTAAATAATTAGATCGCAGAATACAGATGATAGTATGTTATGTGAAATAATTTTGTTGAATGTATGTTTTTTAAACAATGGTAATAAATTTTTTAATTGACTGGTATTTTTCGCATTTTATATTTTCCTTCATTTCTAAAACTATTACATAAAAATTATCATTATAAAAATAAAAAAAAAATAAACGGGAATCCAGGATTTGAACCGAGGACCTTTAAATTACGAGTCATGTGTTTAACCACGGAGCAGATCCATGACTTGCAACTTGAAGGTCCTCGGTTCAAATCCTTGGTTCCCAAAAAAATTTTTTTTTTTTATGATAATTTTTATGTAATAGTTATTCAAAAAGAGACAAATTATCATTAAAAAAAAAAATATTGGGAAGCAAGGATTTGAACCGTGGATCTCTAGATTGCGAGTTGTATGTGTGAGTCTGTCATACTTCTCAATGTAAGTAGTAACTAACTTTAATTATTAATATCTTTTAAACAATTAGTCGTCTGCCTACAAAATGGGGTATAGGTATGTTCAGCTCGACGAATGAGTGTAACACTTGGGTAGTTCTCCTTGTTAGATGTGGTCAATCGAAGAAAAATGTTGATTAAAAGAGATAAAAAGAAACTTTGATCCCTATCAATCCGCAGTCATAAACATTTTTATCATTTAATTATAAGATAAGGGCTTTGAGTCATAAAATCCATCAGACGTAACAATTTTTCAGAAAGTTAATTTTTCTTATTACGTCTAATTAGTGTTTCTCATTTATCAGCTATTGTTCTATGAAACAAATTACTCATTGATATGATAAAGACTTACTTATCTCCGTTACAGGAAAGATTACTAAAAATAAGTAAGGCTACATTTCAAGACCATGTCACACTTAATCAATATTATTTTTACTTCTTTCATTGATTGGTAAAATAACCGCGGTCATTAATCAAACATCTCTAAGGCAAGGTTCATCGAGAAATTCAAAGAAGACAAGCTATAATTATTCCTAATTCAAAAAATAATGAAATCCACCAAGGAAATATATGAATTATCTTACCAGAAATTAGAAACCTGTATCTTTAGATTCGTTTACCCGATAAAGTGTCCCAGTTTTGCAAGTACATATTGTATACATGCATGCACATATTGAAAGTGGTGTTCCGTTGTAATCATTTTGACTGACAGTTCCCTCGACATTCGCAACGATCGAACACTACACATAAAAAAAAAAGAAAAGAAAAAAAACAAAGTGTTCCGACCTGTGCTCGAAAGAACAGAACGTCGCAAGTGCATGTCATGTAATATCTCCGGTTGTTCTGTTTGTTGAACTGGAACCGTATGTACGTGTCGCCCGTGATCTCGGCCTCCACTCATGCTTAAAATTATCCAATTTCTCTATTATCGTTCAGCCTAACACACTCACGTACAGGGGAATGCTTATTATCGGCCACACCTTAGGCAGACGGAAATATTTTCACGATCCCACTGGCTACCGCGGCTGTCCGTTTAGACACCGAATAATAGTGATCGTGTATCATCGTTCGCTGACTTTTTAACCGACGCCCGTTTGCTATCTCGTCTCTTAATGTAGCACGCTAACGGACCGATCAGTCAATTCTTTTCTCTCTTCTTCTTGACGCCATTTAAAAAATCACAGCCGTCTCGAATCCGCGGTGTCCATGCTGAAAAAGAATTAAAATAGATTAGAATGAAATTTTTGCAAGAATCACCGTAGACAGCCACTAGATTTATATAATCAAATTCGAGCGTGTTAAAATAAAAATTTCTTATAAATCGCCTTTTATCCCACATTTCTTTCCCAATTCTTCGTTTCTCAGAAGAGGTTCAAAACCGCCGACGAAGAGGTAAATAAAGTTTCGATAAAGTAGAAACGACTAAAACGTGTTACACTAGCAACACCGGTGATACGACCTGATAAGATCGCGCGACGGAGGCAGGGGAATGCAATGACCGTCGCGACATGTCACGATAACGTTCGTCAGCCCGTTTGTTCGCGGTTTAATTTCATAAAGCACACGGGGAATTCGACGAGGCGAGGAAGTACACGGTAAAATGAACACGTTTTGACGGCGTTCGTCGTGTGACGCATAAATCCGCGAGCGGATAAGTGAATCGTCCGACTTCCAAATACCGTGTGTCGTTGATCTTCCCCTTTACATAAAGAGCCCGGATCCATGTAACAGCGAATGTATAAGGCAACGAGCGGTAATGGATCTCGCTTCTAACCTAATTCAATCTAATCGTTAGCGGGACTTCTCCGTGTACGGTTGTGCGCTCGAACAAGTAACTTCGAAGGATGTACGAGACACGAGGACGGTAAGACCGAAGATCGTTACACGTACCTTGTGCAGTTACTAATTCGACGAATTTCCGTATCGATTTTACCTTCCATTCGCCGAAGAGACACAGATGAGCCTAAGTGCAGGGAAAATCTACAACTTAATTCTCTATTAACCCTTTCACTGCGGGAAAGTTGAATGAGAAACGCGTGTCATAGGAAACGATTTCTGTTGGAAGCTTGAAAGCGAGGATACCTTATGGCGTATGAGCGCTAATAGCAGTGAAGGGGTTCAAATGGTTAACTCGTCTATAAAGTAAATATTCGAAAAAGTACACATTGACAGGATAATGGTCAATAATTCGTCTACCGATAGCGTGGGTGTGTATACTAGGGTCTCGTGTAATATAAGAGATACGTTTACTGTACACTGTATAAAGGTATACAGAAGTTTTCATCATCTAAAGTAACTTTTCTAAATGATAGAATACTTGACTGAAAATATTTTCTATCATTATCTATCACTCCCCGCCATCCTTCAGGCAGAAGATGGATATCGCGAATAAAGTCACTGAAGAGTTGTTGCAGTTTCTCGATATCGCAAATTCGGTAAATAGAAAGCTGTTGTAATATCTGGATTCTAGGCGTAACGTATTTCAATAAAATACTAATATGATTGAAATGTTAAGAAGAAAATTTGAACAATGAACGAGGAATATTGTTTCAGCAATGTATTACGTAAACGCATTATCTCGAAAACCTTGTACTATTTTCGCGTTTAAACTTAGCGATAAAACTCGAATTCCATTGTTACTCTTTCGATATGTCTTCGAAGGGAATAGAGAGTCCGAGTTCGATTGTACGTACACTTTGTTTGCTGGTTCCCTCGTATCCAGAGTATGCGAGCTAATGTATTCCGAAAGGCAATCATTGCGGTGCCTTGTTGTATGTAAATCACTGCTCCTGCCGAAGATAGATCGTTCCTAGACGATCCAGTTCCTCGTCATCCTTTCGAAATAGATTTCGTTCGATCAAATTTGCCTAGGCATGTATATTTTCAGAATACACCTCGAAGAAAGTATTCATTTGAAAGTGAAATGTAATCGAACCATTTCGTGATACGAAATATCATTCCCTATAAAAAATGGACATTTCTATTGCTGAACATTAACGTAACTAGTAAGGTTCATGGCGAACATACGTTGAATACTGCTTAACTATCATTCATAATTGCGTAAAATCTAAAGGTTCGAACGTGAACCATTGCCGCACGAAATTCTTGTTACATAGTTGAATTGTTAAAAGTGTTCGGTCGACAATCGTAAAGCAGCGTATGTAAAACGCAATAGTTGGACGTGACGGAGGATAAAAATTGCATTGAGCTCACGTTGCGTTGCTGACACGAC